ATTTTTGTTTACGCTTTGGTAAATTTTACAAAGGCATCGTATTGTGCACCTAGAAGTCGCATTTTCAGTCATGCTCGATTAAGTGCAAATTAAAGGGTTTAATAAGCTGCAACTTTTTCTCATTTTCCTTCACAACAACTTGTGCTCGGTTGTAATAATTTGGAATTTTTTTCTTTTTTCAACACCAGAACCCCCAAAAATTCCGGAGCCTGTCTGAAGGCAATTGCGTCCATTTAGTTAGTTTGGTGGACAGACGGAAGATCTCATGGCCAACGGGAAAACAGGTCTGCCGACAAAGCGGGCGATATATGAATCAATTGAGAATGGATGGATCAACCAGAAAGTGTACCAATGACGAGTTATGGGAAGAGGCGAATGCCGGACCGATTGGTACAGGCAAGGTGAACCGGCATGAGACGGGCGAAATGATTGAAGACGCTTTGGCTGGGCAAAGAAATAGAGAGGAGGAAGACGAGAAGTCGGCGGAAACGAAGACTGGGAACCCACAAACTGGCCTCGCAGGATTTGGTCAGCCAGAGCTTGTGTGCCATCGGAAGAATAGAGCCATTTTAGCCAGATTGAGGCTGATCGACTCCCGCCTGGACCAGTTGAACAGGTTGGAGGAGGAGGAGGTGAGCGCTTTCGAGGCATGGCCGAGTCAACTAGGCCCATGTGGGCACGGGGAAGGAAAAGGATGTAAAGAGATAATAAACAATATTCTCGTTTGTAAATGCATATTAGAGATTACTGGTAACTTATATATATGAGATGTATAAATGATTTACTGGTAATCTTGAAAACCTATTTACAAACGAAAAATAAGTAATCTAGTTGATTGTTATAGCAAATACAGCCTTGCTTCATTGACAACTCCACAACAAAATGTGATAAGGAAAAATGCATGGCCATTGGTCATGGTTCAAGTATCGCTGGGGGTGCTGATGAGACATGGGCGAGGTTGAAACTGCTGTCCAACTTGGATGAGAATAACGTCTGGGGAGCAAGGTTAGGTGGAATTAGTAAAACGAGAGGTCCACTCAAAGAATCGTGAGAAAATTCAATTAAAATTACCATTATCACGTTAAACGAAATATGGTAAACACATTTGATTAATAAATAATTCGGTGGGTCGTGCAGGCAAACCACTTTTATGTGCTTACATTGAGTTTATAAAAAGGGCAGAAAAGCTGCGTCTTGAAGAATTCCTCAGTGAGTTAAAATGACTCAAATTTTCATTAGTGGGGAGCTATTCATTTTGTATAAAAGTGGAGAGAGAAGAGATTCGTAGGTTGATTTCACCAGAAGACGACGGCTGAATCTCTTTGTAGCGCGGGCGTTTGGATTTAATACGAAGTCCAAGTTGACGTAGTCCACGAGACATCTCACCCCTAGCTTGGGGTGAAGACGAGCTAATCTTTCGTCGTGAGTAGGTCTTCGAGATTTACTGGCCGTCTCGAAAACCTACTCACTTATAAAAAAACTAATGTCGTCGATTGATGTAGCAAATATAAGTTTGCTTTATTGACAATGCCAACACAGAATGTGATATATGAAATGTATGCCATTCCTTGAAATTCACATTGCCCTGTGACCCAAGGGCACTAAAAGTAATGTGTCCGAGTGGTTAACGTGTCTAGCTGTCTAGTGTTGATAAGACATAAGTTAGGTCTAAAATTCAGTCTATCCTGGATAAAAACACATTTTGGAAAAGCAAGGCTATACGAAATTCAATGAAAACGTCAGCTCTATTCATATCATTGTGGAAAAATTCAACTACCAGTCCTTCCACACTTGAAACGACATAGGTTGAACACAATTCATATATGGGATAATACTTCG